GATCCACAGAGCCTGACGTGGGGCGTGAACTCACCAACCGAGAGATCATGACCTGAGCCGAACTCAGACGCTTAACAGACTGAGCCACCAAGGTGCACCTATCTTACTTTTTAAAAATAAGTTCAGATGCAACAAACCAATATGCTCCTAAACTGACACATTTAACTACCTAATTAGGTTTATTTCTTACTAGTATGGCAATCACCCTTACATGTACAGTATTTGATTACATTATGATAACTTTTGATACTTTCTAAGTTTGTGAGGACCTAATCAAAGTATTTAGGTATCAGGACTCTAACATTTGGTTTGTGCTCTTATTCCTGACTGTATCTCAGGGAAATATAGAAAATATGATTGGAAATATAAAGAATTTATTTGAAATTAGTCACAGCTCTATGTGACTTTGGCCAAAACAGTATATATTCATTTTCTTTTTCCATCAGCAAACTGAGAGAATAAATGGTAGTTAGATGAACTCTAAGACATTTCTCTAACACAGCATCAATCTGTGACAAATGTAAATTTATACACACACATAAACTCACACACAAGACAGGCAGAAGTTGTCCAACTACAGTTCTCAAAGGAGCCCAAGATTGTTTTGTTTTGTCGATTAAAACCGTATCAAAGTTATGGGACATTTTCCAGCACATCTGTTCTGGATAATATTACCATAATTATTTCCTTCCATTGAACATCTCAGCAGTACCAAAGCAATAAGCCAAGTAGGAGCAAAAATCTTATTATTAGGCAGCAACAACAGTCTCCAATTCTTTTCTTCCCCTAATGTATGATAAACACTTCTGGTGGAATTCTTTGAGTTAAAATAAAGATCACTTGTACTTACCAGCTATAAATGAACACTCACCTCTCAGCTAAGTGCAACTACAGGGTCTGGCTTACTTCTATTACTGCAAGGTCCAGGCTGCCCCCAACTGGGTCTGGGCAGTGGAGGCTAGAGCAGGCCACAGACTTGGACTTCTGGGGTACACACTGAGCTGCCGAGGTCCAGAAGGCCCCCAAGCCGAGAGGCCTATTCCCCTGTGGCCAGATACCGCAGGAGCTCCTCAGTCTTGCCATCCAGAGCAGTGCAGCTAAGTGCGGATAAGAGGCACGTGGGAGACCTGACTCCCCAAGACGCCCTGTGCGTCCGCCACACACTTCTGGCGCACGCGACCTTCCATACTAGTCAGGGGGAACGCAGCAAGAGGAGCCCCCAGCCCCAGGCAGATGGTGGGCTGGGGCGGCCCCTGTTAACTCGGGCCTACAGTCCCAGGACACGCGGGGAAAGGCGAACGGATAGCGAGCGAGCTGTTTATGCGAGGTTCCTGCTTAGCATCCAGGATTGCTGGGATTTCCCAGGATCTGGGGTGCGTAGCGCTAGGACAAGCCGAAGGCGTGGACCTCTCCAGAAAACCCCCAGCTACCAGAGTCCCTCCCGCTCCACAGCACAATTGATAATGCTGCGAAAGTCCGATCTCGCGATACCTCAGAACCAAACCTCCCGGGATCTCAGAAGGCATGTGGGCTTGACCAGGGTCAGAGATGATGGGAGGCACCAGTGAATTACAATGGCTGGATATGTCCCAAATCAGCAGGATTAAACGGAGTATGATGTAATCACTTTTCCAGATTCTGAATCCACGGGAGAGTGGGCATCCCCTAGTGCCTTTAAAAACTTCAAATTGATATAACTTAGCCTTTAATTTTAAAAGATTAGTGAAAGAGGATCACATTATTTGGCTAAACTATTTCTTCAACTCCTGAAAATTATGGTGCCACGGTTGAAATATCACTTCAGATAAGTGTTTTAACTCAACTTAAACGATGTCATTCTTTGTGCAATAAATTAGTTTAAACCCTAAATCTGACGTTTGGTATATTTGCAGAAATGATAGCTCTGTTTAGCTTACTGTGTTCTTCGAGAGTTTACAGTTCTTTTTGAAACATTTTAGAAATGCTAGAGAAGTCAATATTTCAAAATATAATATTGAATAGAAAAGCATACAGTATAATGAGTCAATTAACAGGTTAGAAGAGAAAATCTTTTTGGAGAATTCTGCTTTGCTTGAAATACCCAGATCAGTTTTATTAGATTGAGAACATTAAGGAAACACATGGTCTGGTAAACTTTAAAAGTTGAAATAATATCAATAGTATTTTATAAGCATTGACCTGTCTTAAATCCACATTTAGAATGTTTACCAATAAACTATTTTCATTAGCTCTAATATGATGTGATAATATGCAGCAATATTCATTTGTGTCAAGAATAAAACTAGGAATTTTTGGAATATCCATTTATCAATATTGACCAACCATTTATAGAATGTAAAAAATCACTGTGTCCCTGGGGTAAAAAGATAAGAATGTTAAAATTCTCAAGGAGATTATCCTTAAATATAATAAAAGGCAAAATTGAAAAATTAGTATGGACAAATTAAAAGGGCATTATTTACTTCTTACCAGGAGAATTGCAGGAGAATTCCTACAGGATTTCACTTCAAGTGCTGATGGATAGGTAGTGTAGCATGACAGATGCATAGTTTCCCAAGGTAAATAACAGAATGATTATAATAACAAGACTAACATATACTGACCACATAGCACATGTTTGACATTGACTACATTATACAAAATACTTCATTTAATTCTTAGAGTAATCCCTATTGGGTATTATTTGTCCCAGTTTTTAGGTGAGGTAAAGTGTAGAAAGTTAAATAACTTACTCAAGGCCATACCTTGTATAGAAAAGCATAGGTAAGCAATATGGAGCAAGACTACAGATGTTCTCTTTTTCTTTTTTTTTTTTTTCAATGTTTATTTATTTTTGAGAGAGACAGAGACAGAGCATGAGTGAGGGAGGGGCAGAGAGAGAGGGAGACACAGAATCTGAAGCAGGCTCCAGGCTCGGAGCTGTCACCACAGAGCCTGATGTGGGGCTCGCACCCATGAACTGAGATCATGACCTGAGCGGAAGTCAGACACTTAACTGACTGAGCCACCCAGGTGTCCCAAGCTATGGAGGTTCTTAAATGTTTTTATAAAATGATTTGGTTTTCTTAGATAATGGAAACTTACAGAAGAGAGTAATTCCCGTGAAAAATTTGAGGACGGATTGAAAAGGAATGGAGAGAAACAACATGAGGCTCCAGTTGGAGACACTGAAATAGTATAGGAAATTGATGATGAATATCTAGACTAGGGACAAATACGAGAAACCGTGTACTGACAAGAACAGATGGGACTTCCCTATTTGAGGGGGAGTGTGCAATGGGGAGCAAAAGATGAATCTGGGCAAAGTTTACATTTCAATCATGCTATTTAAGAAGATGTAATGTGTCTTTGGAAAAAAAAAATGTGCCCACAAATCTGCTTTAAATTTTGATATTTTTAATCTACAAATGCTTAAGTTTTGACTACTTATATTTTGAACTACTGAATTTCTGGCCAGTGCTTGATAAGTGATCATGACATTATTTTCTTTACCATTTGTTCTCCAGCAGCGGTCAATGTGAGCCTCTCTATTCTTGTTCTTCTATTATCCAGCTGTCTTGCTTTCCCAGATTCTGCATGAGATTTATCTCCCTTTTCTCTGCTCCTGAACACATAGTCACTTATTTTCTGAAAATGTATGAAGTATTTACTGTCTGGTCAATTTTTAGTAATTATTTTCTATCCTTCAGATTCTTTCCTCGTTTTATTCAAATTTTCCCTTGATACAATGCTTATAAATATATGATTATCTGGTCTTCTTTTTCATATACAAATACTTAAATAATCAGGTTGACTTCACAGACTTCTGGTATTAAGGATGTTATTTATATTAATGTCAGTAACCCAAGTTTAAAAGACTTGCAATAATTTTGTTAATTTAAAATGATTTCTAAATCAAAATAAGGAAGAAATTAAACTAAAAATATTTTGAAACATGATTAATTTTAATATGTTTACAAGGAAAGAGTAAATTCACCAGCAGAAAAAATTACCAAAATTAACATTTTACAGATTTTTAGTTTCAAAGCACAATACATTTTTCATAGAAACAAATATATCACCATCATAGGTACCATAATATGGAAACATTTATACACAAGGCCATTTACCATTAATAAAATCAGTGGCAATGGTGATGCAATACATTAGTTTATCTTTGTTAAAATTTGTGCTATTATACTTCCTGGCCTGCAGGAGTATTTGCCAGGATACAAAAGAAAAATGTGTGACCTCAGTTTGAACAACACATAGAAAGTTCTGGCTGCCTGTGCTTAACCCTATATTTACTATATTATCACTAGGAATGTTTTCATACCACTACTCTACTATGGAATAAATAGTTCATTCCACTTACTAGTAAAGTCATTCCCAAGGAATCAAACATTTTAATAGATTCATTTGGATAGTAAGGAATTACTTTATACAAAATAAGAAGTGCAATATCAGGACATAATATTCTATATGCCTAAACTTAACAGAAGAGAAAAACTATACAGGTATTAAGTGGAAAACAATTTCAGATTATTTGGAGTAGGTAATGGCATAGTACTGAACTGGGAAAAATGTGATAATATGGTTCCTTTCATTTTTTGAGAGTTGATTATATTTAAATGCACCAGATGATTTTCTGAGGGCCATTCACATTCAATGTTTAGATTCATTTTATTAGTGGCATATTCAAAGCACCATATAAAAGAACATGTGAAATGTAGAACAATCATGACTATGTAATTAACTATAGAAATAACTGCTAAGAAAATATAGCAATATTTAACACAGGATTTCTAAAACCATTACATATTCATTACCTTTCCTGAAGCTAATAATGTCCCATGTTTTATTTTTACAGATTTTGTCTATCAAGATTTATATGCATTTGGCACTTTTTGGGGGGCTGAAAATAGTTGATATCTTCTGTACAGTAATGTTACAATTTTATACAAACTTCAGAAATATGGCATTTGGAATAGTCTTTACGATCCTCTTCCAAGTGTTCCATTTCACATGACAGCAAATACTCTGAATGCCTTTCCTCCTGGAGGATTCTGTAAACTGCAAAAAATACAAAAAGTATATTGATGTCATCTCTACATATAATCCTCCAAATAAATCATGCTTACTTATGACAGTCAAGAAAGCAGCTCTATGAATCCAGATGGCCAACTTTCTTAGGCTACTATAATTTATAGCTATTGGAAAGCCTGAGTGAGAATGACATAATTCTTTAAATCTCGGTTGTATGCTGAGCTGAAAGTTTACTAAAATTTAAGGTGCACAGTAATAACAGTATTTTATATAGAACCTAGTAGGTTCCAGATCATGTTTTCCCATATTACCACCTTTGATTCTAATAAAACAGAGTTAGGCAGCTGTTTTTCCATTTTACTGGAGGAGTACTGAGATCCAGGTTTACAACTGACCAATATGGTTAAAAGTTAACTGCAAGTTGAGAAGACAGTGATAATTAAGCAATACTCTAGAATACTAACTTAGTATTTTTTAAGCCTGATGAAATTTAAATAATGTTGCCACCATACTTATTAATATTTTTAATATCTATAGTTTCAAGAAAAGTTTTAGTGAGGAATTTAGTGGTCAAATCTGAAAGGTCCTAAGAATTTCTTCACTGAAACGGAATCACGCATACAAGCACTCAATCTCATTTTAAACACAACGTATTTTAAAACACAAAAGAAAAGTGATACAGAGTCATACATTTAATTCTTTCTTAAATTATTTATATTTTATTTGGCAATATCAGTTAAAATATGTTTCATTTAAATGCTTAAAAGGTAAAACATCGATAATACCATTAACTGTTGTTTAGTCTAATTAAATGTAAACTTCTGAAGTCTTTACATTTTTGAATGAAGTTTTTCTTAATAATAAAAAGGGGCTTTTAGAGATAAACACAATAAATGCTAAGAGGGAGACCAAGTGCAATTCCTTTTACATATATATTTACGTACAAGAAAAGAAAGAGGAGAGTTTTTAGAGTGAAAAAGTATGAGGGTATCACAAGAGTGCACATAAACATGTACTCACACAGACACACTAGGTTTTCCATACAAGCAGATAGCCAATCAAAAGCCATACTTATCTATAGGACACTGACAGAGTACTCTAGAAAGTAGATGTGTTTGGTGTACTTATTCTTTGTACACAGTGATACACTGGAAAAATGCATATTTCTTAGTCTACAGACCTACTGCTGAACCCAAGCTCTGAGACTGACTAGTTAGAAGAGCTTGGGCACATCATTTAACCTTTATGAGCCTAAGTTAACCCATTTATTAAATCAGGTTTACAGAATTGACTTTACCGGGCCATTGGTGGAGCTGAGCTACTAAAAGTGCTCAGCAGTGTCTGGGAAATTCATAGTAGGTGCTCAAAAATAATTATTATTCTCAGTTTTCTCAGGATATCATCTTATAGTTTTAGAATAAATATAAGAAATATGACAGGTAAATGAAACACCACTTAGTTTTAGCTTATTAAATTGCCTATCACACTCTACAACTCAAAAATGTAGTTTATACATATCTATTTTATATATATCATACAATATATATTATATATATAATGTGTATATATTAAGTGTTGTGTATGTGTGTGTTTCCATTTTACTGAAGACATTCCTAGGATCTTTCAGATTTGACCATTAAATTTCCTCACTAAAATTTTTCTTGAAACCAGGCACCTGGGTGGCTCAGTCGGTTGAGCATCCGACTCTTGACTTCAGCTCAGGTCACTATCTCACAGTTTGTGAATTCAAGCCCCATATCAGGCTCTCCACTGTCAGTGCAGAGCCTGCTTGGGATTCTCTCTCTCCCTTCCCCCACTCGCTTGTGCTCTCTCTCTAAATAAACTTAAATTTTTTTCTTGAAACCATAGATGTTAAAAATATTTATCAGTATGATAGCAACATGATTTAAATTTTGTCAGACTTAGGAAATAATAAGTTAGTGCTCTAAACTATTCCTATGAACCACATGAATCAGGTTATAGAGAAATCACCTTCTTAACAATGGCTTTTTGATATGGTCTGCTGAAAATAGATGGTAAATGCAAAGCTGTCTTTTTATAAAGATGGCACTCAGAAGGTTATGTGGAAGTCAATCTAGATACCCTGCATGGCACATCCTTTGGTGTCCTTTAAAGAAAGTTGACCGTAGATGTGGAACCTCCACTAGCAATTCTGAAGAATCCAGTAAATGTCTAAAAGTTAGAAATTTTTCTGTATCCATACAATATACATAAGAGGTAATATTATTTGTACAGGTACAAATGACTTGAAAAATCACTATAGGTTCTGTGCTCTTAACTTACTTGATAAATAAGTTACTTGATACTTACTTGATAAAGTAAGTCATACGAATTTTCCCAAACCACAAAATTATATAATACTAATGGACCAAATAGTATGAAATGACCAGAAAGCATGGATTTATGTCATAATAGATATCCAACTTCCAATCAAAAAGAGAATTTGGTTCTGGAGAAAATCAGACTCACTCTTTTATCAAATACTTTGTCATATAACTGGATTAGAAAAATATTCAGTGCCCTGCTCACCTAGAAAGAATTACATATAAAAACTAATCTAGAAAATCCAAAGGAGGATGAAAGAAATTTCCTTATTAACAATTAACAAAAGAGTGGTTCTGACTCATAATCCGATTTTCATGTTGATTTTTATAAGCCTGGAGGAGACAGGCACCTCTGGTACTTCAGATTCTCCCATCCCTGGAAGACCAACTATTTCAGTGTGCAAAGGAAACACACTGGCACAGCCACATAACTCCAAACCCATACTAAAGTGAGTTGGTTATAAAGCAAGCATAAAGGTGTATGTATGTATATGTAGAGAAAGAGAAAGAGAGACAGACACGGGAGGAGAGAGGGAGAGAGACTCTGAGTATATAAAATACAAAATATATATGTAAACAGATTTTTAAATTTACCTTTCTGAGAAGATTCCATTCTGAAAAGATGCAGTGTAAGTCTTTCTTTTGTCCACAGGCATGACATCAACATAACCACCATGATTTCGAACCACCCCAGCATGTACTGCTGCTCTGCAGATACTGGACAGCTGAGGCAACAAGGAAAAACCCACCGTTATTAGGAAATTCCTGCTGAACTTGTCCAGTCTACTCTTCTGTTGGACCAAAGTCACTGGCACCTGTCTCTATACAGATAGTCAGCAGTTACAGGTTGATGTTCTGTGCATAAAGGAATGTTGCAAAAGTCACAGAGTTAAAGCCAATTCTGAGCAAGTCTGAAAGCAGATCTCAAGGGTGGCCACAATGGTAAACTCCCATCACCGTTTCATCTAACAAACACTTGCCTTTCCAAACATCAGGCTTTTTCTATAGTGGAATTAAGTAATCAGATACAAATTTGCTGTTTTTATCTCTTTTTTAAAATTTTTTTTTTCAACGTTTATTTATTTTTGGGACAGAGAGAGACAGAGCATGAACGGGGGAGGGGCAGAGAAAGAGGAAGACACAGAATCGGAAACAGGCTCCAGGCTCTGAGCCATCAGCCCAGAGCCTGACGCGGGGCTCGAACTCACGGACCGCGAGATCGTGACCTGGCTGAAGTCGGACGCTTAACCGACTGCGCCACCCAGGCGCCCCTTATCTCTTTTTTAAATGTTTATTTTTGAGAGAGAGAGAGAGAGAGAGAGAGAGCGCGCGATCATGAGCAGGGAGGGGTAGAGAAAGAGGGAGACACAGAATTTAAAGCATGCTCCAGGCTCTGAGCTGTCAGCACAGAGCCCAACATGGGCTCAAACTCATGAACTGTGAGACCATGACCTGAGCCAAAGTTGGAAGCTTGACCAACGGACCTACCCAGGCATCCCTGCTCCTTTTAACGCTTAAATTTTAGCTTTTCCTAGTCACTCTGACCAAATGTTAACAGGTTACATTATCTGTACTTGGTTTATGTTCATTTTTGTCTTATTAACAGATAATAGTTCTGTATACCTTTACGGTTCCTTTTCCAAAATACAGGTGTGTATTAAATGGGGAGTTTTCTTCTATTAAATAATATAGCCTACACAGAGAAAATTTAACCATGAAGCAAAATATAAAGAACAATCACAGCTTCCAACCTATATCTGCAATGTCTATCACCTTGGTTTGAATGGTCTGACATGAGGCACTATGTTTACATTGTACCAGTTATACCTTCTTAATTGAACTGGAGTTCTACAGAAGAGAAAATTATTGTTTCAGGTCCATGTTTTTAAAACCATTACCTACGGACTTCTAAAAGTTGACTTTTTTTTTTTTTTTTATTTTGCCCCATTCAAGACTTCTCCAGATTTTAACATTTGCTTTAATCCTAATGTTCTACCAAAATTTGTCAATAGCTGAATACAGCCTGAGGAAATCCCACAAAATGAAACACTTGAACTGTTTCTGTATGAAACAATCCCCCCTCATATCCCAGGGGTCTTTTCTGATCATACTAGTGTGTTCTATTTTTCTCTCTATGCACATGTGAGTGACTTAATGTGCTTTTTTAAGTTCACATAAGCATGTGCATCTTACATGACCTTGCTTTATTGCTGTGCTCTGAACTTTGTGGCATCAGTCAGAACTTATTAGATCAGAGAGCCTGAATGCCAAGCTGTTTAATCCTTTTCATGCTTTTGCTATATCAAAAAATACCATATATCTAAAACCTCGTATCGTTACTCCGAAGAGGCATTTTATTTACAGTTTAAAGTTCCTCACTGATTTAATATTTGTATCCAATATGGTTCATAACAGATGAAATTAAAAATAATTCCGTACACATTTCAGTATTTATCTTGCTCTGTTAAAAGAGTATTATCAGCATTTTCCCCAAGGCATAAAAGTGCTTACATATAACATTCACTAAATCCAAGCACTTAATATGTTTTGAAACTATTGTTTTGCCCATAACTACGCAGTCAGCAGGCATTCCTATTTGAGTTCAAAGGTCAGAAGAGATTTTCTTTTTATACCCATACTTTGTAAGAATTAACATATCACAAAAAAAAGAATTTATCTGTGAAAACAGTGGAACACTTTTAATGAATGCAGAAATTAAGTTTACTTGTAACAAATGAGAAAAATTCAAAGCAATAAAATGTACAAGTAGTAACGGAAAGAAACAGAGAGAGAAAGGTGGAGGGTTGAGGCAGAGAGAAGATATTTTTCCATATCTTGTATTTAAAGAAATAATATATTTTGTGTGTGTGGGGGGGAGGGGGAGTTTGGTAGTTAATGCTTGAATCTCTGAATCTGCACTGACCGCATAAATAGTAGTCCTTGCACTTCCAATTAACTCTTAAAATGATTTATACAATCATTTCCTATACATAATTGCCTATGCAGTCCAATAAGGTAGGAAGATAAAATGATCTCAAGACACAAAGTCTAACAAAACCTAAACTAGAAAAATAGACGGCCTATAGGTATAAGAGGTTATAGGATATTATGAAAGATTTTCACCGGGCATGATTAAAATTTAAAGTTTGGTGCTTAAAGGGACAATCTAAAAAGAATAACTTCTGAAATCTTTGAAGATTCTAGATAGGCTTATTCATGTACATTTATGGATTTATTTCTTCAACAAATATTTATGTGCAAGGTATTTGCTAAATTTCTGATGTCACTGTGTGCTCTAAGTTTTGTTAAGGCAGGATATAATTCTGTCTTGTTCACAGGTTGGCATACATCAAACTGTTAATAAAAAATGACGCTCCAATTGCCTGGCTGTTGCCCTCATGGAACTTCAAAATAATAAAAGAGATAGAGAAACAGTCATAACACTAACAGAATCAGGTAAGTGCTAAAAGTAAAAAAAAATAAAGTTCTAGGGGTTGAAAGAAGGGCTATGTAATACATGTAGTAGGAGATCCAGCAAAACACTCCACAGAGAAAGTGGCAATAAATTAGGACGTGAAGAATGACCATGATTTTAACAGACAGGAAGATAAGTAAAGCATGAGGACTAATAAATTATTATACCAGCATGACCTTTTAAGCTGCAAATAAGTACAGGGCAAAGCTGAAGCCTGGGAGGGACTCAGATGTGGAGAACAATTGCAAAGGTAAAGCTGAATGAAAACAAACCCTGGACTTCAATGAACTCACCAACAGAAATAAGGTGGTAAATACTATTTCAGGTCTCTTTTTACAAACCTATTTCCATGGTATTCTATTGAATATGTGCTTCAAGAGTATATTTCCTGAATTTGTTTTTGCAACTCTCTGGCTTAGAAATTTGTAACGGTTTCTAAATGTCTGCCACATAAAATCTAAACTCATCAACATGCATTCAGACTCTCCATTTACATGTTTCAAGAGCTGGATACCCCACCCCTCACACAAAATTGGCTGCAACCCTTTTAGATTCAATGCTCACCTGTTCAAAGATAAGCAAACCTATGTGTTATGCATACATCTCGCTTGCTGTCATCTCCCCGTTTTTGTAAACGTTGTTCATCCCACCTAGAATGTGTCCCTAATCCAATTCCCCAACCCACACTTGAAACCTGGCTCAAAAAGCACTTGTCCATACCAAAGGCCTCCCAGCTAAGAGTCCTTGTCCAACCCAGTAATGTTGTCCATTATAACATCCCCTCAAGTGCTTTCTTTTCATATGTATTTTAACATATTATCTGTTCTTGATTTTATGGTGCTCTTTAAATCTTGCCATTTGCAACAATATGGACGGAGCTAGAGTGTATTATGCTAAGCGAAGTAAGTCAATCAGAGAAAGACAAATACCATATGATTTCACTCATATATGGAATTTAAGAAACGAAACACATGAATATATGGGAAGGGGTAAAAAAGAGGAGAGAGGGAAACAAACCACCAGAGACTCAATGACAGAAAACAAATTGTGCGTTGATGGAGGGAGGTGGGTGGGGGATGGGCAAGATGGGTGATGGATACTAAGGAGGGCACTTTTTGTGATGAGCACTGGGTGTTGTATGTAAGTGATGAATCACTGAATTCTACTGAAACTAATATTACACTGTATGTTAACTAAAATTTAAATTTAAAAAACTGGTAAAAAAAAAAGTAAAATTTTTTAAAACAAAAGAAAAACATGTTCCCTTGGCAGTGTAAGATATTGTTCATACATTTGACAATCTCTTAATTATCGAGTTTACACTACAAATACTGAAGAACCAAAAGGAAGATTTAAAAAAACAAAATGAGGGGCACTTGGGTGGCTCAGTCGGCTAAGTGTCTGACTCTTGATCTTGGCTCAGGTCATGATGTGGTTCCCGAGATAGAGCCCCATGTGCTAACACTGTGGAGTCTACTTGGGTTTCTCTCTCCCTCTCTCTGTCCCTCCTCTGCTCTCTCTCTCTTTCAGAATAAATAAACTTCAAAAAATAAAAAATAATAAAAAAACAAAATGAATTTTCCTTCAGAAGGATGTCTCTGGTCTATTTCAAAAGTGTCTGATGTAACATATATGGGCAGGACATAAAAAAATTTTGGTAAAAATAAATTATTATGCACTCATATTTGCATAAGAATAGTTGTTTTGCAGTGTTATTATTGATTAGCTTCTCTGAGAATATGTATACCAACACAGAATCTGTTTCCTTTTTCTATATATAAATGTATATACATACATTTAAATATTGTGTAAACACATATATACATGAATACTGAGAGCTGCATAAATTAAGATACTTACATCAGAATAAACTCGAGTTCCAATTACACGAGCATAATGTGGATTTGCCTGCATACAGTTACGAGGACAGTAGACTCTGAAAAAAAAATATATATATACAAATATTAAGTAGCGGGTTTCTTTAGCCATTCTTACTCATAAGACCACAGACATGCATACACAAATGTTAACAGCATTCTCACCCTATTCATTTTTTTTTTTTCTAAAATAGGTCAATTGTAGAAGCCAGGCAGTAGATGCAATTGCTTCTGCTTAATTTACCCACTTCCAGCTTTTGGCACAAATGTGTTTCTTTTATTTTCTAACTTAACCAGGAAGCTTTCTAATTTAGGGGTTAAGCAGAAAGACACATCAGGTTGTATCTCTCAGTATCTGGGAACTGTACCCAATGTTTCTGTAGAATTTAATAAACAGCTAACTTGAAAAACTGACTCATTGTCTGACTCACACATCTAGCTTCTTTCTTCTATGTTCACATCTTTGGTACATCCTTCATTTCCATGGTTTTAATTATGATTATAAGTTACTGATTTCCAAATATGTATCCCCAGTTGAGACCTCTTAGTTCCAAATTTGTGTCCTATTGTTTATTCAATATCTCCACTAAAATCTAATAACAATTTCAAACTAAGGGTGTTTACAACCAAATTCCTAATCTTTTCCTCCAGTCCCCATATCTGTTCCTTATGTAGGCTTCATACAATAAATGGCAACTCCATTATTTCAGATCCTCAGGCCAAAAACTTTATTCTAGCTTCAATCCCTCTCTTTATCTCACACCTTACATTCAGTCCGCCAGCAATTTCTATTGGTCATCCATGAAATAAAATCAGAGCATCCCTAAACACCTCAGTTACTATAGCTCCAGACTTTATCATCTGGTGTCTAGCTTACTGCTATAGGCTTTCCTATGATCTCCCTGCTTCCAACCCTGCCCCTTCCAGTGTTGGTTTTTTTCCCACTTGAATTAAAGCACACAAGACCAATCATATCATTCTTCTGCTCCAAATACTCTAGTGGCTTTCCATCTCATTCAGAATAAATGAAAAAAATCCTTACAATGGCCAATAAGTCCTGCATATCCTGTCCCCCCATTATCTTTCTGACTCCATATCCTCCTCCTCTTCCACTTCTTCCCCCAGATCCAGTCATATTGGCCTGTCACTTCTCAAACATACAAAAATAGGCTCTTCCTCAGGGCCTTTGCACTTATCTTTCTCTGAGCATGGAATATTCTTTCTCCAGATATCCTATTGCCTTACTGATATCTGATTGGCTTAGCTCATTTAAATAACATTTCCAAGGGACACGTGGGTGGCTCAGTCGATGAAATGTCCGACTTTGGCTGCTCAGGTCATGATCTCAAGGCTCATGAGTTCGAGCTCTGTGTCACACTTACTGCTGTCAGCTTGGAGCCTGGAGCCTGCTTCAGATTCTGTGTCTCCCTCTCTCTCTGCCCCTCCTCCACTCATGCTCTATCTCTCTCTCACTTAAAAATAAATAAACATTAAAAAAATTTTTAAATAAAAA